TTATCCTTTTTATACTCCCTCCGTCCCATTTTGTTTGCATGGTTTGACAAAACATGTATATTAAGTCAACAAAATTTATTTTATCCTTTTTTACCCTTAACTCATTGAAGATATTAATAAAAGTCCCTCATTAAGTCAAAAAAGTTATTTCCCCCTTTTTTATGCATAAATGTTATTATGGAAAAAATAATTATTAACATGTCTAAATTTAGAAACCTTACAAACATTTTGAAACATTCAAAAAAGGAATAACAATCAAATAAATTGGGACGGAGGGAGTATAATACTTATATAATTTGATTGGATTTTTTTTGACTTTTTTTATTAGATAAATAAATATAGATAATTAAGCATTTCAAAATTTTAAGTTTTTACTATTATTATCTTATTGCGTCTAATTCATTTTATTTCATTATATTATTATTTAAATTATTATTATTAATAATAATTTAATAATTTTAATAAATTTAATTATTATTATTATTATTATTATTATTATTATTATTATTTATAATTTAGCTTTTACACTATTATTTTAAATAATACTCCACTCGTCCCAAAAAGATAGTCTATCTTTTCTTTTTGATTTGTTCCAAAATATAGTCCACTTTCTTTTTTTTTGCATTGTAATGAATCATTGAATTATCTATTATACCCTTATTAAATTACTTTATTTTTAATAACCCTTATTAATTATTAGTTATTATTTCAATACTCATGTGTTATTTAAGATGGACATAATAGGAAAGTTGTATGAATAAAATTATCCTTTAACCATATTTTTTAATCTATATGAAAATAAAAAGTGGACTATCTTTTTGGGATGGAGAAAGTATATGTAAATGAAGTATTTGAAAATTTTTACATTCTTTTGAAAATAAAGTTTAAATAAATATAGCTAGATGATTCAGATTTGATTAAAAAGGGTATAGTTAAATTTCTTTAATTACAAATTGAACTCTGATTTTGTTAGCTAAAAGTTATTATTTCTAAACATCTCGAATTTAATTAGTTATAGGGATATCTTATATAATTTAAATCTTATTTCCATTAAAGAATATAATTTTACTAATAATTTTTAAAAATGCTTTTGTGATTTTAATTGGTTAAAAAAATTTTATTATTATTTATAAATATTTAATTTGATTTATTAGATTGCTTTCTTATTATTAATTTGATTTATTAGATTGCTTTCTTATTATATTGTTAACATATATTTATTTACTACAAGAGATTACAGTGAAAGTTATTAACAAAATATGTAAATTAATTATATAAAATTACAGTGAAAGTTATTAACAAAACATGTAAATTAATTATAAAACGTATTATAGAAACTATATGATGATTTTTATAAATCAATTTGGTTTTTTCTTAAAAAATAAAATGAAAGCGCATATTGACCTATAATAAAAACTGTATAAATCAGTGCGTTGACATAGAATAAAAAAATAATATTGTATCTATAAAGTATAATATAATTTAACCACTTGATCTAAATAAAAATTTATACTTTAATAAATTTATACTTTAATATTATATAAATAAAAATTAAACAAGTATAAAGAATGAACATATAACGAGTATAGTCAACGTGCAATGCACATCATAAGGAAGACTAGTAATATGTAAAAGCAAAGCAATTTGCATTATATGGAAGCCAATTGTAAGCCTCTGAAATTGCCAAATAGGAGGAGAAACTGAACTGATTTATGTAAGCCTCTGAAATTGCTAAATGAGAGGAGGAACATTAGGAATCAATAAGTTTGATTAATTATTAAAAATTTAAAAATCAAAAGTAGGGACCAACAATTAAATTTTCACCAACAATTAATTATCATAAAAAAATTAAAATTTGACCAATAATTAATTATCACAAACGTTTTCTACAAAATCAATCACACTAGATCTTTACGTTTTCTATAACAGGGACCAATTGTAATATATACTTACATCTTTTTATTATTTTATTATTTTTCATTTTTTATATTTTAACATTTCTCCAACTCCTTTTTTATTCGAAAACGTACGATACAATAATTTTTAAAAAGTATGACATTCACACGCTTAGTATACACTACACTAAATAAGTAATACATTAATATTTCAAATAAGTAAACAATCATTTATAATAAATCATAAACATAAAATAAAAAAATAAATTTCTTATTTCAATGATGCAAAAATAAATTTTAAAAAAACACTCATAAAAAAAAATCTTGATTGATTAGCTTTGTGTATGGAGTAGTCTCATATACCAGGAGTTAGGTTGCACAAATACAGGACACAAGATACGGAAACAGACTGATACGACAATTTTTAAAAAGTAGGACATCCATAATACCACGGAGTTAGGTTGCACAGGAATACGGACCACAAGATAACGGAAAGACTGAAAAGCAATTTTTAAATTTTAAAAAGTAGGACATCCATACGCTTAGGATATATTGCACTAAATAAATAATACATTAATATCTCAAATAAATAAACAATCATTTATAATAAATCATAAACATAAAATAATAAAAAAAACACTAAATTTCTTATGTTAATGACACAAAAATAAATTAAAAACACTTCATTGTTATTAGTAATAAAAAAAACACTTGATTAATTAGATTGGTGTATTAAGTAGTCTCATATACCGGGAACTAGGTTGCATGGACATGGGACACAAAATACAAGAACGTAAGAGATATGATAATTTTTTAAAAAGTAGGATATTCACACGTTTAGGACACAATACACAAAATAAGAAATATATTAATATTTTAAATAAATAAACAATCATTTATAATAATAAATTATAAATATAAAATAAAAAAAACACTAAATTTCTTATTTCAATGACACAAAAACAATTAAAAAAAATCTCCTCATTTTTATTGATGATAAAAAAAAATCTTGGTTGATTAGCTTGGTGTATTAAATAGTCTCATGAACCAAGAGTTAAGTTGCACGGACACGAGACACAAGATACAGGAACGTACGAGATACGATAATTTTTAAAAAATGTAAGACATCCACACCCTTAGAATACAATACAAGTAATACATTAATATTTCAAATAAATAAATATTGATTTAAAATAAATTATAAACATAAAATAAAAATCCTAAAATTTCTTATTTCAATGACACAAAAATAAATTAAAAAATATTTCATTTTATTGGTAATAAAAAAACTTGGTTGATTAGCTTGGTGTAGGATTAGGTTGTTGGTGGGTAGTGCTTTGGTGTATTGAGTAGTCCCTTATATATCAGGAAACAAAAATAAATTAAAAAATATTTCATTTTATTGGTAATAAAAAAACTTGGTTGATTAGCTTGGTGTATTGAGTAGTCTTATATATCAGGAACTAAGTTGCACGGACACAGGACACGAGATACAAGAATGTATGAGATACAACAATTTTTAAAAAAGGTATCATATCCACACGCTTAGGACACAGTGCACTAAATAAGTAAAACATTAATATTTCAAATAAATAAATAATCATTTATAATAAATCATAAGCCTAAAACAAAAAAATACTTAATTTCTTAATTCAATGACATAAAAACAAATTAAAAAAAACACTTCATTTTGTATTGGGAATAAAAAAAATATTAGTTGATTAGTTTGGTGTATGAAGTAGTCTCATATATCAAGAGTTAGGTTGCACGGACATGGGACACAAGATACGATAATTTAAAAAAAAAGTATGACATTCACACTTTTAGAACACTCTACACTAAATAAGTAATACTTCAATATTTCAAATTTAAACCAAACCATCATTTATAATAAATCATGAAAATAAAATATATTTGATTTCTTATTTCAAGGATACAAAAACAAATTAAAAAAAAACACTTTATTTTTTATTGGTAATAAGAAAAAACCTTGATTGATTAGCTTGGTATATGAGTAATCTCATATATCAAGAGTTAGATTGCACGGACATGGGATACAAGATATGGAAACGTACAAGATACAATAATTTTAAAAATGTAGAACATCTACATATTTAGGACACATTACACTGAATAAGCAGTAAATTAATATTTCAAATAAACCAAACCATCATTTAAAATAAATTGTAAACATAAATTAAAAAGTTTAATTTATTATTTTAATGAAATTAGTTAAATTCTCAAAATTATTATCACTATTGAAAAATACATCAACAATGTGTACGCAATTTTTGATGTAGGTCATACTATGTATGTATTTTTACTATAGCATATCTTATGAAAGTCAGATACTTAAAAAGACATATCTTAGTATTGCAACTTTTAAACATATCTCAATGACATATAATTTTATCATTTTATTATATAATTTTACTATTTTTGAATAATGTTATAAAAGATTTCATCTTTTAATATTGTTTTGCGCATAGCTGGTTGCAACACTAGTTGGATTTAAATTTGAGTCAATGATAAGATAAAATAGCTATTTTTTTTCTAATATTTTCCAATAGCCTACACATGTATACATCTACATTCACAAATATTTCTACGCTGTGTTGGATACAAGAATAATCTCTTTGGATAATTACCCTCCTGTAAAAGTGATTTTCTAAAAAACTCCTAATCTTATACTAGTAGATATTTTTCCGTTAAATTCGTTACTTAAAACCATCCGTTATCCATATTTATTACATTTATATATTTTTGATCAGCATTCTAAAATTTGTGTTCCTCCGATTTGTTTACAAAGGTAAAAAGTACAGCTATAATAATTCCACATTTAATAACCACAGCTACTGAACTAATTTTCTTTGACCGATTCTCATTCAGTATTCCAATCTGAGCCGTTCATCATTTAAAATCTACCGTCAAAATCCACTTAGACCCACCAGTTTTCAACATTTAACACTTCATTAAGACTCACAACAACAGACCCTGTCAAATTGATTAAACGCCAAGTTTAAAGACTCTCAACAACACGAGACAATCAATAAACATTTTCCATTTTTATATTTTTACCAAAAAGTACATTATCCAATACACATTTATCAAACAGAGTAAGGTTATATCAGTCGTTTAATATATTTCTCAGACCGTGACAAGCATAGAAACCGAGGCCTTTGCCGAGTTTCGTTCTGCTCCATCACCATGTGACCTTTCTCTTTCTTTCTCCCTGCAAATTCAGTTCTTGATTTTGGTTTCTTTCTTTTTTTCTTTTTTTATTCTTTAAAGAACCCAAAAAACAAAAAAAAAAAGAAGATAAAAGACCATTAAAAAGCTTTAACAAGAAAGCAACAAGATTTGATCCACGCATTCTTTTTTACTTTTTAAAAATATAGTTTATTATTAGGTGCAAAAACGAAACAACAACAAACCCATATCAATCTCAGATCACTGTTCCTTAATCTCCACTTCAAAACCAAGAACTGAAAGAACCATTTTACCTTTCTTGAAAAAAAACCAATCTTTCATGTTTTTTAAGCAAGAAAAATGGCGGAGTTCAAGAATCGACCAACAAAAAACAACAACAGAGGTTTCTATGTAAAAATGAAACTCGTCAACAGAAATGGAAGATTTCTGCTACAACAAGAGAAAAACCATAATAATCTCTGTTTCCATTATTACAAATGGATTCTTTGGATTTCTCTTTCTCTTTATTTCTTTACTTCTTACTTCATAAGCCATAAACCCATTCCTCTATCCAAAACACAGCATTTCTCTAAATCTACTGTCGTTTCTCGTGCTCTCTTTGAATCCGTCAACTCTACATTTCTTCAACCATCAAAGAACAATAAAGGTGAATATTTCTATACATTAAAATTAATCCTTCTACGTTAATTTTTTTTCCAATATTTCTTTAATCTTTTGATTTTTTTATAGCTTTATTGAAGGATTTGAAGATATATATCTACGAATTGCCATCGAAATACAACAAAGATTGGCTAGCAAACGAGAGATGCAGCAACCACTTATTTGCAGCAGAGGTAGCCATACACAGAGCAATATCAAACAGCAATGATGTACGGACATTTGATCCATACGAAGCTGATTTCTTCTTTGTACCTGTCTACGTATCTTGCAATTTTAGCACAATTAATGGGTTTCCGGCAATCGGTCACGCTAGGTCTCTTTTATCCTCCGCCGTCAATTTTATTTCCACAAATTATCCATTCTGGAACCGCTCTAATGGTGCTGACCATGTCTTTGTCGCTTCACACGATTTTGGCGCTTGTTTTCACACTCTGGTACGCAAAACACGCTCTAACGAAGTTGCAAAAAATTTTCAAATTTCGAGTTTTTTAACTCTGGGTTTTTTGATTTGGTCTTCTTAAGGAAGATAGAGCTATGGAGGATGGCGTACCGGAATTTTTGAAGAAATCGATTATATTACAGACTTTTGGCGTCCAATATGACCACCCATGTCAGGACGTTGAAAACGTGGTTATACCACCTTATATTCCTCCGGCAAGTGTACGGTCAACTCTTAAAAAGGCTCCATTGACCGGCCGGCGAGATATTTGGGTTTTCTTTAGAGGCAAAATGGAAGTTCATCCAAAGAACGTTAGCGGACGATTTTACAGCAAGTAATCATCAATTTTTTAAAATTATCCTTCAAATTATTTGCATGTGTGATTATCTTTCTGGTTAATCTCCGATTTTTTTTTTTTTTTTTTTTTTTTTTTTTTTTTAAAAATTAAAATCCTTCCAAATTAAATTTGCAATGTGGTGATTATCTTTCCTGGTTAATCTCCGATTTTTTGTTTTTTTTTTTTTTTTTTTTTTTTTTTTTTTTTTTTTTTTTTGTTAATTGTAGGAAGGTAAGGACGGCAATATGGAGGAAGTTCAGCGGTGATCCGCGGTTTTACTTGCAGCGGCATAGATTTGCCGGTTACCAGTCAGAGATTGTACGGTCGACGTTTTGCTTATGTCCATTAGGGTGGGCCCCATGGAGTCCAAGGCTCGTTGAATCAATCGCGTTGGGCTGTGTGCCGGTAACAATTGCCGACGGTATCCGGTTGCCTTTCCCGACAGCCGTACCTTGGCCGGAGATATCGCTCACCGTGGCAGAAAAGGACGTGGCGAAGTTGGGAAGTATTTTGGACCACGTGGCGAGTACTAATTTGTCGACGATACAGAAAAACATTTGGGACCCCGCATTTAGGAGGGCCCTACTTTTCAATGATCAAATACAAGAAGGAGATGCGACGTGGCAGGTGCTATATGCCCTGGCCCAGAAGCTAGGGAGGTCTCATCGGACAGTAAGAGTCTCCGACCAATGAAAGGACGTCATGTGGACAGTTTTGACTTGTGGACCAAACTGCCATGTTGCCAGCTAATTGAGTTGTTCTTTTCCCAACGTGGATGCGCTTGCATGTAATCAAAATGATGTGGATTATGGAGTACAGCTGGATTTTCTCGACTTCTGTCTCTGCTCGTAACAGTGGGTGGGAATTTTAATAGCCTGATATGGGGTGTTTTATGAGCTAGAGGATAGATTATTTTTTTTCTTTTTTGGATCGGCTTTTGTGGCTGCTGAGTTGGCTTACAATTATTGGTCCTGAAAGCGGTAAATATACAAATATTAAATACAATAAAATCATAATACTGCCATGTACATGTGGAATTTTTTTTTGATAATAATATTATAATAGTGAATTAGACATAGTATATATTACAATATTTATGTGCATTTTGAATCCTCTGTTCTCTGAACATGCTGCCACTTGCATTCAAAAAAAAAAAAAAAAAAAAAAAAAAAAAAAAAATCAAACGTTATGTGTCATACTTAGATTAAATGCTTATTTTATGGTTAGATCCACAAGTCCTTTACATTAAAAAAAATTTAAATTTATTCCATCAACTTTAATTTTCATTGAATTTTCTTTATAAATTAGTAATTGTCGACTTAATTTATTTCTATTAAGGCTGATTTTAATACAATTTTTTAATAGCGCCAAATTTAAAAAAAAGTAAAACGCTATTTTATAATATTTAATAATAGGCTAATTTAAAATTAATTTTAAATATTAAAATAATTTGTATAAAATATTAATTATTATAATTTTTTTAATATTTAAAAAATTATTTAAATAAACTAAATATTATTAAAATAACTAACACTTATAACAAAAACCTGTAAATCACCACTCGGGTGCAAAATGGCACCTGATATGACATGATGTATTTTAGTACAACCTTGAAAGATAAATTAACTAAAAGGTCAACTTTGACTTTCATTAAAAATTACAGTACAAGTTTGAAGGGAAGTTGATTTTATTTTTTAAATATTTAAAAGTTTAATTTAAGATAAATTGGATATCCAAATCCTGGAGAAATTTAAAAGAAAAAAACTGGGATAGAGTAATTGAGATTTATTTCTTTTCATTTTTGGCAATTATTATTTATGTTCCATAATATTTATTATATTTAAAATTTCATATTTTTTTAAAAAATTTAATTAAATTTATCTAAGTTAACAATTAAATTATTAATAAATTGACTATATTATTTTTATTTAATATAATTTTTAAAAAAATTACTTAAATTAAAATAATAATTATTGGCTCATTTAAAAAAAGCGGTAAATATAGAAAAAAAATATTCTATTACTTGACTATAGACGTGGTAAATATTTTAAAATAAATTATTTTTTATATATAAACAAATATTACAGAAAGAGTTACTGCCCAGAAACAAAAAAAAAAAAAAAAATCAACATTTTCTTAACTTTTACTTTTATATTATTTGGTTATTGCGTTTAATAAAAAAAAAAAAAAAATCAACATTTTTAACTTTTACTTTTTATTATTGGTTATTGGTTTAAGTGCAAGGCAAGAGTAAGAGAGGAAAGTGAACTTCAAAAGAACTTTTATGGGCTAGATTTTTGTCTACTCTTTTTACATTTTAAATTTCAAAAGGCCAAGAGTGAAGAAGTCAAGTTGAAAAAACAGATGGGGGTGTGTGTCAGAACTTAAAGAGAGAGAGAGAGAGAGAGAGAGTGGGGCGGTAGTGGAGAGTGTCAGTAGTGGTCACAGGTTCACGGGTTCGGCACCAGACAAAACGAACCCTATCGACACTCTTTTCTAAGTTCTTTATTTCACAATTGTCCTTCATCGTCTGTTTTTTCCTTTGGCTCAATTACTCATTCCGTGATAGTATTTTTCTTTTTTAATTCATTCTAATAGGATAATGTTAAACTTCGTGTTACAATTTGCAAACGTTTTGTTATTTTTGTGTTAAATATCATTAATGATTAGTTGAGTATGAACATTTTAGAAAATATAATTTGGTGGTTCCTGATGATTTAGCAAGCTGGAATAATTGGGGGACCATAAAATTGCAATTTTATAAAAAAATCACATATTCGATTGATAATATTTTTTGAACTAAAATAAAAAAGAAAATTTAAAACTTATAAATACTAAATTTAACTATGTCCTGATTGATATTGATCTTTTGATAAATATATGTATCATTTTTTTTATTAAAAATAGAGATTTAAACCTAAATTTATTGTTACATCGTATCTGCCTTTGCCATTAAATTATGTCTAAATATGGAATATATATATATACCGTTTGTACCTAACTTTTGTTGAAGACATCAGTTGGTAGAGCGGACGACTATTGTTGTTATTCATCAGTGTGTTCTTAAGCCGCTGGTTCGAATGCAGCAGGTCGGAAGTTGTTAATTTTTCGGTCAATTCTTTTTCTTTTTTCACTATACTAACTAAAAATTGGATTCATTCTTGTGACATTATAGATAGTAAGTTTGGAGGTTGACAAGCGTCAAGTTATTTGAATATGGAACCACACTCATCAACTACTTGATAAGAATCGGTCTATTATGATTCTTGTATGGGTCAAAGAGTAGTATTTATGTGTTAAGCCACTGATTTAGGTCAGCATTAGAAATAAGACTCGCTTTTTGTATCGACCAAGCGTAATTTAGCAAGTTTTTTGAAATTGTTAACTGTTAAATATAGCTAGGGATGACAATGGACGGGGCTCATTTTATACCTAAGTTGTTGAAAATGTTTTTCTAAGATGGTCAACTATGGGCCTGCCCCATATGAATGGTCATAGCCATGTTAGGGGCTTTACCCTTCCATGTCCCAGCCCACCCTGATGCATAGGAGCAGCCCAAATTCAAAGTGGATCTCACTCTGTCAAAAAGTTTTCAATGTAATTTTCAAGACTTTATTAGCTGAAATTAATTATTTTAGTAACTATCAATTATTCTACTAACTTTTCACCGACCCTCTCTTTTTGAATAATATAATTTTATAGTGGAGAAGACTCGAGCACGAAACCTCTCCTTACATCTTCTACAAAAGATGAGAGAATCAATCAGAATACACCTGATTGACTTTATATGAATTATTATTTAAGGTTTATATTTGTAGTTGGAGTTATAGTTTAAATTTAATATTCGTATTTGCAAGATAAGACTCCACTTATTGTACTTAAAGCTTAGAAATATAATACTCCTTTCGTCCCATTAACAAAACACGCATATTAATTATTTAATCAATAAAAATTGTTTTGCTCTTTTTTACCCTTGACTCATTAAGATATTAATATAAGTCAATCATTTAATGAACAATACCAAATGTTATTATACGAAAATAAATTATTTAAAAATCTAAATTTAGAAACCTTATAAATATTTTGGGACATCAAAAAAATGAATAATAAGCAAATAATATGTAACGGAGGGAGTAATTAATTTCTAAAATATAATTTGCTAGCAAGTTCATATTATAATGTTCACTACCTGCCTTACGCGTATACATTAGTAGACCTTTTATTAATCCATTAATTTATTGAATTATTGATTTTATCATGACCATGCACGTTTATTTATTTATTATTTTTCTTTGTTGGAGCACGATTTCAATTAAGTTGTCAGTTTGTTGAAAGAAATATATTAATTTCTTTAATAATTATTTTTGTATATAATTAATATTTATATAACAAAATTACCTTTTTTTTTTTTTAAATCCTCATTAGCCTTTTCTTCAAGCTAATATTTTTATTTTCAAACGTTCAAGCCTATCTAGATTAGCCAATATGTAGTCTAGGGGTTTTTGGAATTATATTGTCAAAGGAATCGCTAAATTATTGATTTAATAACTGTTTATCTCTTAATTATAATTAATAAATTTATATAGTTATATAATATATAATTAATAATTTATATAGTTAGATAATATATTATAGTTTAATATATATTATATATATATATATATATTATATATATATATATATATATAATAATATATATAATAAAAATTTATATTCTACTAATCTAATCAGAACTTTAATAAAAATACTAATCTAATAAAAAAACTAATGAAATAAAAATAAATCTAATAAACAGATTAGATTAAGTAAATAGATGATTAAGCGAAATCAAAATAAAGATTTGATTTGTAGAATTTGTTTATTTATTAAAACAATGAATTTATTTTGTTTGGGTGAGAAGTGGAGAGGATATTTTAGTATATACATTATTAGAAGTATTCTTATATCTTATACTACCTTCGTCTTGTTAATTTATATATTTTTTGACTTTTCACAAACATTTAAAAAATATAGAACTATCTTAATTCTATAAAAATAAGAACAATTGACTAAATTACCCATTAATAAATTATTTGTAATTAAGAGAGATAAAGTTTGATAGAAATATCTTAATTTATAAAATATAAGGTAAAGTTAAAATAAAACAATCAACACTAAATTAATTTATAAAAATATCAACTAAATAAAAAAAAGTCAATTTAACAGAATGAAGGTACTGTCAATTTAATATATTTATGATATTATTTTTGAGTTGCTCCTAATTAGTAACATTTAATTTTGTTTTTAGTATGACTAGAAAGTTTAATCTCTCTCAGACCGTAGAACGTAAAAATTCTTTGTGCTTCCTCGAGATTGAATTTCTGTCATCACTTATGAAGATTAATATCGTTTATTAGTAACGTTTAATCTTAGTTGTAGAATTCAATATAAATTTTGAAATTTATGATGGTGATAATTGTTGAAAATAGTTTTCAACTATGATCATATTTATTACGAAAAGAATGTAAGAGTTTGCTCAATCCATTGGTATTAATGGATTCTCTCGAAGTATGCACAAAGGATATGCAATTCCTTCCAAAAATTCTAATCTCTATGTCTATCCATGAGATGCTAAAATTTTCTATAGGAATAAATGCTATATTTATTTAGACAAGGATATATACAGTTCTCCCACCTTTCTGTTAAAATGGCATTTTTTCAATTTGTATAATAATTAAGAAAATAATTCAAACAACTCAATTTTAAAAAAATAAAAAATTAATTGATTAAATTATTCTTTTATTAATTAATTCTTCTCTAATCTCCTCAAGTGAGAGATAAAAGTTTTGTTTCGCAATATTAACTATTTTATTAGTTATTAGTTATTGTAAAAGTTTTTTTTAGAAGAAATCAAATTAAAAATTTCATTAAAAGAAAATTGTATACAATTATGAGATATAGATAAATATTTTTATATGAGAAGTCTTATAATTAATAAATCACTTATACAAAAAATAAAAAAATACAATTTTGATTTGAAGTATCTGATCGAATTAACAGAGTATAATATTTGTGTCATAGGTGATCACTTGCTCCACTTGATGGCTATTTATAGCCACTGTTTGGCTCCATGTCCTTTTTATATGTCGACTATGATTACATTCAAATTTATTTCTTCTATTGGAGATGAGATCTACCTTTCTTTCAGCATAACTATCTAAAAAAAAAATAGATAAATCACCATAATAGTGATAGCAATAATTGAGAACTAGATATAAGAAAAAAAATCTCAAGATATTGGCAACAATAAATTTCAATATTTGGATAATAATAACTCAACTTTGCATACAAATCTAAAGATTATTTGCAAAAAAAAAAAAAAAAAAAAAAGCATACAAATCTAAAGGATTATTTGCAAAAAAAAAAAAAAAAAAAAAAGGAAAGGGTATGACCCAAAAAAAAAAAAAAAAAAAAAAAAAAGGAAAGGGATGACCAACATCGGTGGCGCATGTGAAAGAATAAAAAAGAGCTTTTAGGTTTTAGATTTTGAAAGAAAGAGAAGCAAAAACATGAATTACAATCTTAAAAAATTTAGTTATTTTAAGAGTGGTCAATTGTTTTACTAATAATTCATTGTTATATATCTACTGATAGAGATTAATTGTTTATACAGTAGTTTTAAACAAAAGTGTTTGCAACTATAAATTACGTGACTGAGTAATATGATTAACATAGATAATAGTTATATTAAAAGTTGTTGCCTTGTAATGCTAAAATATAATAGGAAAAAAATTAAAAAGATTGTCAATTTTAACATATTAGAAGGAGTAATTATTCGAATACAAGTAAAAGTAATAAAAATCATAAAAATTGAGAAGTAAAATTATCTTTTACAAGTTGATTATTAAAAATCACTTACATTGAAAGTAAAATAAAAACGGGAAACTACATTTGAATTGTTGTGTGGTCCAATTTGGAGACAGAAGTTTAGGTATAACAATAATTCAGTAGAAGGAAGACAAAGGATGATCATAGTGGTCCAAAACAAAATTCACATGTGAGAGAGATACATACAAAAAGCCTCCTCAGGCAAGACAAAGAAGAATCACAAGTTAATAGTTACTTACTTAGGTACTACCAATTTAAGCACTGTTTATTTTCCATTTTGTGAAAGGAAAAAAGAGTACAAAACACACATTCACATTTATGTCCAATCCTTTTCCATTTAGTACCCTTTCCTTTTAGTATGGGCAAAGTCAATACCCATGCCCATGTTTCCTCTGTCAGAAATGTCAAAATAATCTCGATAAAAATTTCACCTATTTAATCAATGAAATAACAGTAGGACCGGCCGGTTCTTCGAGCCGGCATTTTTGGTCATTTCCGACAAGGAATACGACAGGTTTGAATTTGGCAGTTTTAGTTTCGACTGCTTTTGATTCGATTCAGTTTTGATCATTCTCAGTACCAGTATAACTAATTTCAAGTTCTTTGATTTTTTTTTTTTTTGAACGGAACAGTAGATTTCAGTTTCAAATATTGAAATTAAAATTGATTTGGGATTCTCTTAATTTCAGCTCAGTTTCTATTTCTGATCACAAAACGGCCGCCGTGGAATCTATTGAACTCTAAGTTTTCAATTTTTACATAAATAAAATTATAGACCAAATAGAGTAATATGAATTAAGGTATTCATCATCGATTATATTTTTTTTTAAAAAAAATTTACAATTATGGGTTTTAGTTTTAGAGGTTTTTTTTTAAAAAAAATTCACTATTATTCCAGTCTATTAAACTCAATAACAGTCATACATGTTGAAAATCTTGAGTTTGATTACTCTCCATTACAGTTATTTTCACCAATTTAGTGAGCGAAAGAGAGGGCTGTCTTTATTGTATAGCTTGCAGTATTATTTCGATCTATTAAGGCTCCAACGAATTAAAAAAAAAAAAGTCACACATGTCAACTAAAATTGCCATCCTATACTACACAATGCACACATGTAAAAGGGAAAAGAAAAAAAAAAAAAAAGGAAGGACAAAGCACAATACAGTTTGATTATTTAGTTCGATCAACCAATGCTTATACAAACAATAGGGAACCCTTGAAATTTGGAGGCAGGATGATCAACAACTCTAGGCACCTATTTTGGTGGGACCCATTCTCAAGACCCCTTCCAAGTTGTACTATACTTTTTTTTTTTTTTTCTGTTTTTTTTTTTTTTTTTTTGAATAACTGATCAGTACACTTATAAAACTGAAGCACACACATATATATGCAATTATGCATTAAATAGCTAACACTCAGGTGTTTGGGTGTGATCTCTTTTTGGATCCGTACAATAGTCATAAGCCAAATAGTTGCTTTGGACCCATTGCATGGCTGAGTACTGCTGTTGGCTGAGGCCGGAGCCCGACGGCGAGGCGGAGGGCGAGTGGCAGGAGGCAGGACCACTGGTGGAGCAGCCACTAATTTTGAAATTTCGGTACCTACCAATGAAGGGTTGGTAGCTATAATCAGCTTTGTATTTGCCATCCTCAGTGGCCCAAGATGATGCATCCCATATTGACCCATAAACCCACATTGGCCTTAAAGGAAATGTAGCATCATTTTTTCTTGGATATCTTCTAATGGGAACATCATCAACAAAAAATCTGCGGTCCACATCAACAATTAGGGCTTTTAGGGAAAAAGAAAGCTAATAGCCAAATTAATTTGGCAAAGGACATACATATATTCTTAGCAAAGAAAGTATGTTATAATTACAGTTTGAATTGGAAATTTTAAATTAAGACATACTTTGAAAATAAAGCATACTATAAATTGACAATTTTTTAAAATTAAACAATATGATCATTATGGTTTAGATGATGGATTCGATCTTCCGCATTGTAAACATCCTCCAAGCTAGCTCCTTTGCATTCAAGAGCAAGCCGGGATTAGTAAGTTTACCATAGACCGTTAAACCGGTCATGGATATAGACACTTTATAGTTGATGGTTGTACATATTAGCTGCCTGTAATTAATATTCTAATCCAAAAGTATAATAAAATGTTGTTTAGTGTCTATCTTATGACATAAAATTTTAGAAGTTAAGAATTTTAAATTTGCAATTCTCTAATAATTAAAAATTTAATATATATTAAAAAGGACAATTAATAAAATATAGGTAATTTTCAAAAAGTGTCACTAACATATAAAAAGAAAAGAAAAGAAAAATCTCAAAAAAGAAAAAAGGTTATAGTACTAACATGATCTCATTGGGGGTCCACAAAATAGCATAGTTATGAAAATCTTGTGTAGGATCAAACCAAAGATGAAACCTCATTTCTCTTCCAATAATTTTTCCATCACCACTTCCTTTCATATACACATTGGTCTGCAAAGTGTAAGGCTTGCCTGGAGTTGTTCCTAAGAACTCAATGTCAATTTCATCATGGTTTCCAGGAAAATCTTCATTATTTGAAAGCTACCATCATTACCAAATTCATTAGTAATCAAGAAAATTTTAGATCACCTAATTTTAATTACAATGCAATTAATTATTAATTCTTACATAGAATGATGTAATTACTCCTGCAGTGTAACCGGGATGAAGCTTCATGGCAGCACCAAAGTACCCAGAACGATATGATTGGAGTGACTTATACCCACTACCTATTTATCATTAATAATAATTAGAAAGGTAAATAAGAATTAAAAAAATTAATCAAGAGAGAAATTATATATATACCTGAGGAACTGTCAAGCCACACTGTTAATGTGCCTTGGTCAATTTTTTGGTGTTGAGGACCCCAAAGATTTCTAAAACCTTGGTTAAATCCAATAGGGCTTATTCTTGAACTGGGGGAGTACCCAGGTGAAGGTGGAGATTGAGCACTGCTACTGCCTGAAAATATGATTAGAGTGAGGGGTAGAAGATAAAGAAAAGAAGCCATGGAAGGAATTAATTGAATAGAAAAAGATTACAAATTTGAAGAGAAGAGCAAGTCTGTTAGTGGGTATAAATAGAAATTTTGAAGGGTCCCATATAGCAAGTGAGGTGATAAGTTGGTTGATGAGGAGTTATACATGAAGACAAAAAATATGAAAGATTGGAGATAAATGATGAAAAATTTGTCCAATTTGTTTGTGTATATACTTCATTTTTCTTTTTCAACTTTACTTGTTAATTAGCTAGGGTCGTATTATCTGGTATCAGAGCACTGCGGTTGTGGATTTCAATCTATCCTAGGGCTAGGGACTTAAAAAAAAAAAAACGAAAAGAAAAAGGAAGTTTTGCTTATATTTTGCTGCAAATTCGCATTGAAAAAAAAAATTGTTATTCGTTTTTTACCTGAGAATTATATGCTAGTAAACTATATGCTTGTATGAGGCACTTGAGGATTGATTGGTGACAACCTGAAATTGTGCACTGAAGTGAATTGATATTCTAGCACTGCTATAGTTACATATTGTTCTTGGGAAATTTATATAAAATTTAGAATTATTAGAGGATTTTATCTAAATATAACCCTTGACCTGAACATGAAAACATTTATACAAAATAAATAAAAAACTTATTACAATGTTATATAATATATAGATTTTTTTTATATAATTAAAAGTTTTTCATAATTGCATGCAGAACATCAAATGATGTTAAAGTCATTTCACTCTCAGGAAATTTTACCATTTTATAAGCCTAAATAGGAGAGTGTTACTTTCTATACAATTCATAATATTATTTTAATTCATGAGGCCTCCCTATATATATATATATTAAATGATGCTAACGTTTAAATTTGAATATATGTTTAATTGGTCATACATTAATAGCATGCTAGTATTGAATAGACAGATTCATATGCTAATTAATATATGGTAAGAATTACTATTATAGTGATGAAATTATGTATGCCTTGGGAATAAATCTCTTGTCTTAATCTTAATATTTATTGATTTTAGTAAATGGGATTTGACCACTCACCTTGAGGCTTTTTTTGTTACTAAAGGCTCTTTTCAATAATTCAATCGCTTAGCAAAAAGATAGAGATTGACATAACATGTATTAGGTTGATTCCACGGATTTTGATAAAATGGTTACAACTTACAAGCTACTAATTAACTGTGTTTAACTCTCAATCATTCTCTTTCGTCCAAAATCTAAATTCTAGATATGAGTTATTGTCGCCTAAATATTAAAATTTATTGGTGCTAATCTCTTGAGATTTGGTTCTCAAATCTAATTTTGAGTTTGTCACCATTATGATGATTTTGTTTATAGTCTTTTATTATTTGGTTAGTTATGTAGAAGGAAATGCAAATCTCCTCTCTAATAATAGAAGGAAGAAATTTGAAGGTGATCAGATCGAACTTATAAAAAGACCATAAAATCGAACAATGGCCATGAATAGTCATCAAGTGGAGCAAGTGATCGTGTATGACACAAATATTATGTTTTGTCAATTCATTCAAATCAAGATTATGTTTTTTTATTCTTTGTACGTGTGGTTTATTATTAGATTTTCTAAATAAAAATATATAAACATATTAATATATATCATATATTTGTATACAGTTTTCTCTTAATGAAATTTCTAATTTGATTTATTTAAAAAAAAAATCTCAATCATTCATTTAATTAGGTTGTTTATAGTAAATTAACAAAATAATCAAACTTAAAATTTGAAGTTTCTAATGGTACTAGTTATATGTAACTTTCAATTACTAAACACAACCGCCTAAATATACTTGCTTCAATACTAACTCTCATACTAGGACTACCTAAGATGCGATGAAAAGATTTAAAATATTCTTAAATATAATCTCAACCATGTGATTTAAAAATTTTATCATTAAATATGAGAAAAATGCAAAAAAAAAAAAAAAAATCTCATTACTAGGACTACCTAAGATGCGAGAAAAGATTTAAATTCTTAAATTTAATCTCAACCATTGTGATTTAAAAATTTTATCATTAAATATGAAGAAAAAATGGCAAAAAAAAAAAAAAAAAATGAAAGTCCCCCGGGTGACCGGTGAAAAAAAAAAAAAAAAAAATGAAAGTCCCCGGTGACCGGTGGTGGTGGTGGATGACAGTGGCCAGTAGTGGTAGTTAGTGGTAAATGGTGACTGGTGGTGAATGATGACTGGCGGTAGTAGCTATCGATGATTAATAAATTAAAAAAAATATGTTTTATAAGGTTATTGCGTTTGTTAATGACGGAAAATATTTTCCTCTATTGAAAATGAGAAGTCATTTTCCTTAAAAATGACTTAATTTTCTTTTGACTTATTTTCCTGAACGCCCCAAATAAAGAAAAATTGTGAAAAATATCTTTTCGCAAGTTATTTTATGAAAACAAACAGAACATTATTGTAATATAAAATTAATCATAATTATTAATTAATATTTGGATACTACAAAATTTTGAACATAATCTTGTTATTATTATTGGTAAGATATTACCACTGTCTTTACAATTGAGTTGAGGCAGTTGGGCTAAAATATGAAGGCAGGTAATTATGTGAATCCAAATCAGTTCACCTGCCTGATCATGATCATGTAACCTTAGACCATATTCAAATTAATTAGTATATGTAACTTCCTAATTATTTGCCAATCTTTCAAGGACAAATAACCAACATAGTGCCTAAATTATTACTTATGCTTCTTCTTTGTTCAATGATTCTGCAACAAACTGGACCTACCAAATTCTGTTCAAGTTTGACAAAAAAAAAAAAAACTTATATATCTAAATCTTCATCTCAAAAACTTAGCTATATAAATTTTTTGTTTTCATTCCACTAAGTTTGCTCTATTATCAAGAAGTAATAAATCCATAGTAAGACAATTTCATTTCATTTGATTTTAGGTCTAGTTTATTTTTTTAAGCTTAGTAAATCATAGTGCTGTAAACAAGACAAACCGCTCGTGAGCTGCTCAAAATTCTGCTCGGTAAAAGCTTGCTTGAGCTCATTCAATGAGCTTACTAAGCCGAGCTCGAGCTTGGTTCGTGAGCTTGGGAGTTGGCTTTATCAAGTCAATCTCTCGAGCTAGCCTTATCGAGCCGAGTCGAGCTCACGAGCTAGTTCAATAAGTCAAATTAATTAAAACCTACATTAAAATGATGACGTTTTAGTTAATAGATTTCGAACTCGACTCGTCTATAATTATTGAGCCTAGCCCAAGTGAAGCTTGAGCTTGGCTATTTTTAAAAGATTCGAGCTCGACCTCAAATTTTTGAGCTCGAGTATATTCTTATCGAGCCGAGCTTGAGCTCACCAAAACTTAGTTCGCTCGGCTTGTTTACAGCCCTAGTTAAGCATAGTCACTTCCAAGCTTAGACAAAGGAGGAGGGCTGCGATAGTTGGACAATCAGTAAAAATAGTCAAATTCCAATATGACTTATTTGAATGAAAGAATAAATTGTATAGGAAAAAAAAAAAAACAATTGACCCACTTTTGATGACAAGAAAAGTCCTAATTGCTTAAAATTTTATAAGCAAATTGATTAAAGTCTTTAGGCATGTAATCCGGTGGATTGCTACTTAGTGGGGAACCAAAGATTGCTTAGGAGCATTTACAAAATATAACATGATTCAATAAAGCAAGTAACCTAATTGAATATTTTTTTTTTTGAAAGGGGTAACCTAATTGAATATGTTAGTGTTAATTAGTGATATTAGTATTTAAAATTACCTCAGTAATCTAATCGAACATATGCCTTTGTTATATTTGACCGGAAGTCACATCTACCTTATAACCCTCAATCCCTTTTAGAGCCTCTAAAAATTTCTGATATATTAAAAATTACTTTAGTAAAGTAATTTTTGAAATGGAATTCTTTTTTTTTTTTTTTTTTTTTTTTTTTTTTTTTTTTTTTTTTTTTTTTTTTTTTTTTTTTTTTTTTTTGTGATTCACAAGATGTTGAAAATTTTATTGATAATTCTGTATTTAAATAATCTAAATTTATAGTGAAGCAATATATATTTTAACTTTTTTTTTAATGAACTAGAAAAGGAATTCAATTTATCATTTTAAATCATTCTCTATTAGTCATAAGTTTGCATGTTGCATGAGATTTATAATTTTATTATTATTTTTATTATTTGAAATAATGTTTATAATATTATTAATTTTATTGATTATCAAAAGAATTGAAAATATTTAATAAAAAATAAACTAAAAATATTAATTATCATATTAGTATGTTTACTGATATTTGAAATTTATTGCAAAAAAAAAAAAAAAAAACTGAAGACATACTATTTAATAAAAAAACTGAAGAACATACTATTAATATTTTTTAATGAATTAATTTCACTCTATTAATATCTAAATTAAAAAATATATCAAATTAGAAAGTAATTAAAAAATTTAGAAAAAAATATTAATGGTACGTTGATTGATTAAAGTGTTTCAGCTTTAAATTCCACCATAGATGTGCCATATCATTGCCTAAATTCTACCATAGGTATGTAGTATTTCTGTGCGCGTTTAGTATTTTTTTTTTTAAATAGCATTTAATTATTTAAAAGAATTATTTGAATCTAAACATATATTTCTTGTATTATTATTTTATTTTCAAAGAGAGTTGATTATTGAACATGATTAAATTATTTTCGAGCTACAAATAATCAAATTTAGTCAAATTAGAAAATGTAATAACATTATGCTTTCTAAGACAACAAAGGCTGCTATTGATCAGTTTGTCAGAGCCAACAATTTTCATTCTCATTTGAAAAACCTAATTATCATGTGATGCACTTTTGACATTCTGTGCTATGAACACTTCTGTTTTTTAGGTTTTTTCAATCCAAAAAATTAATACAATTAGGGTTTTTATCCTTCAAATATAGATGGTATGAAACTAAATACATCATTAAAAATTATATTTTAATTAATTTAATTTATATGTTATGTTTGGGGTTTTTTAAGTAACAAAATTTATATTATTAAATTATTAATTAGCACATTTATTTCAAAAATAAAAATTTAATTTGTGCA